TATTCTTGGTTGGCAGTTTTCTTTTAGCACTTTAAATATATCACTCCATTGCCTTCTGGACTCTAATGTTTCTGAAGAAAAATCGGCACTTAACCTTATTGGGGATCCTTTGTATGTGACTGTTTGCTTTTCTCACACTGCTTTCAAGATTGTTTATCTTTAATTTTTGAGAGCCTAACTATGATATATCTTGGTGTAGATCTGTTTGGTTTTATCCTGCTTGGGGCTCTTTGAGCTTCTTGGATTTGTAGATTCATGTCCTTTGTTAAGTTGGCAAAATCTTCTGTTATTATTTCTTCAAATACCCTTTCTTTCTTTCATCTCCTTCTGGAATTCCTGTGATGCATATATTAGGTCTGGTGTCCTATACTTCCATTAAACTGTGCTCAGCCTTCTTGAGCCTTTTTTTAAAAAAATTTTATCGTGCTTTAGGTGAAAGTTTATAGTGAAAATTAGTTTCTCATTCAAAAATTTATACACAAATTGTTTTGTGACATTGGTTGCAATCCCCACAATGTGTCAGCACATTTCCACTGTGCGTTCCCTGTGTCCATTTGTCCAGTTTTCCTGTCCCCTCCTACCTTCTTATCTTTGATTTTGGGCAGGTGTCACCCATTTGGTCTTGTATACTTGATTGAACTAAGAAGCACGTTCCTCACTTGTATTATTATTTGTTTTATAGGCCTGTCTGATCTTTGGCTGAAAGGTGGACTTCAGGAGTGGCTTCAGTTCTGAGTTAAGAGGGTGTCCAGTGGCCATACTTTTGGTAGTTCTCCAGTCTCTGTCAGACCAGTAAACCTGGTCTTTTGTTATGAATTTGAATTTTATTCCATGTTTTTCTCCTGCTTTCCTATCATTTTTAATTAGCCTTTTTCTTGATTCAGCATTTGCTTGGTTGCTGTAAACCTTTGACTGTTTTCTCAATTTTTTTCCTTTTGTTTATTTATTTTTTGTTGTGCTTTAGGTGAAAGTTCACAGCTCAAGTTAATTTCTCATACAAAAATTTATACACATATTGTTTTGTACCATTGGTTGCAATCCCCACAATGTGACAGCACACTGCCCCTTTCCACCCCTCATTCCCTATGTCCATTCAACCAGCTCTTGTCCCTTCCTGCCTTCTCATCTTGCTTTTGGAAATGAGCTACCCATTTGGTCTCGTGTATGTGATTGAACTAAGAAGTACATTCCTCATGTGTATTATTTTTTGTTTTATAGTCCTGTCTAATCTTTGCCTAAAGAGCGGGCTTTGGGAATGGTTTTAGTTCTGCATCTGAGGGCCATAGTTTTGGGAGTTCCTCCAGTCTCTGTCAGACGATTAAGTCTGGTCTTTTTAGGTGAATTTGAATTCTGTTCTGCATTTTTCTCCTGCACTGTCCAGGACTGTCTGTTGTGTTCCCTGTCAGGGAGGTAATTGGTGGTAGCTAGGCACCATCTAGTTCTTCTGGTCTTAGGCTGGTGGGTCTCTGTTCATGTGGTCCTTTAGTCCTTTGGGCTAATATTGTCCTTGTGTCTTTGGTTTTCTTCATTCTCCTTTGCTGCAAGTGGGATGGGAGCAATTGATGTATCTTAGATGGTTGCTTGCATGCTTTTAAGACCCGAGATGCCACTCACCAAAGTGGTATGTAGAACATTTTCTTAATAAACTTTGTTACACTTATTGACCTAGATGTTCCCTGAAACTGTGGTCCCCAGACCCCAGCCCCAGCTAGTCTGTGCCTCAAAATGTTTGGATGTGTCCAGGAAACTTCTTAGCTTTTGCTTTGGTCCAGTTGTGCTGACTTCCCCTTTATTGTGTGTTGTCCTTCCCTTCACCGAAGTTGTTCCTTATATACTATCTAGTTAGTGATTTCTTCTCCTTGTCCCTCCCCACCCTCATAACCATCAAAGATGATGCTTTTTTCTGTGTTTAAAGCTTCTCTTGAGTTCCTATAATAGTGGTCTCATATAATATTTGTTCTTTGTGACTGACTTATTTCACTCAGCATAGTGCCCTCCAGTTTCATCCATGTTGTGAGATGTTTCATGAATTCATCATTGTTCTTTATCATTGCATAGTATTCCATTGTATATATGTACCATAATTTGTTTATCCATTCATGTGTTGATGGGTATTTAGGTTGTTTCCATCTTTTTGCTATTGTGAATAGTGCTGCAATGAACATAGATGTCCATATGTCTATTCGTGTGATGACTCATTTCTCTCGGGAATATTCCTGGGAGTGGGATTGCTGGATCATATGGTGTTTCTACTTCTAGTTTTTTGAGGAAGTGCCATATTATTTTCCAGAGTGGTTGTACCATGTTACATTTCTACCAGCAGTGCATAAGAGTTCCAGTCTCTCCACAACCTCTCCAACATTTGTTATTTTGTGTTTTTTGGATTAATGCTAGCCTTGTTGGAGTGAGATGGTATCTCATTGTAGTTTTGATTTGCATTTCTGTAATGACTAATGATCATGAGCATTTCCTTATGTGTCTGTTAGCCGCTTGAATGTCTTCTTTAGTGAAGTGTCTTTTCATATCCTTTGCCCATTTTTTAATTGAATTATTTGTCTTTTTGTTGTTGAGGTGTTGCAATATCTTGTAGATTTTAGAGATTAGACCCTTATCAGATATGTCATTGCTAAGAATTTTTTCTCAGTCTGTAGGTTCTCTTTTGAACCTCCATTCTTCTTGTTCTTCAATGTTTGTAATTTTAACTATCTTATAGCTTACTTTTTCTTTCATCTGCTTTTTTAAATTTGTTGGTAAGTCCTTCTATTGTTTATCTCAGTTATTGTCCCTTTCAGTTGCAATATCTCTTTTTTTATTTTGTACTTTAGATGAAGGTTTATAGAACGAATTAGTTTCTCATTAAACAGTTAATACACATAGTGTTTTGTGACATTGGTTGCCAACCCCATGACGTGTCAACACTCTCCCCTTCTCGACCTTGGGTTCCCCATTACCAGCTTTCCTGTCCCCTACTGCCCCTGGGCTGGTCTTTGCCCTTGGGCTGGTGTGCCCATTTAGTCTTGTTTTGTTTTATGAGCCTGTCTAATCTTTGCCTGAAGGGTGAACCTCAGGAGTGACTGAGTTAAAAGCGTGTCCGAGGGCCATACTCTTGGGGTTTCTCAAGTCTCTGTCAGACCAGTAAGTCTGGTCTTTTTTTGTGAGTTAGAGTTTTGTTCTACATTTTTCTCTAGCTCTTTCTAGGATCCTCTATTGTGATCCCTGTCAGAGCAGTTGGTGGTAGTAGCTGGCCACCATCTAGTTGTGCTGCACTTTGTCTGCTGGAAGCTGTGATAGTTGTGGTCCATCAGTAATATATCTCTTTTTTTAGATCCTCATTTTGTTTTGCGTTGTTTTCCTTATTTCTTTTAGCTCTTTGTCTATGTTCTTCTTAGTTCTTTAATAATGTTTAATGTTGTATAAGATATTTTTTGATATTCTTGGGTTTACATGTGGTAATTTTCCATTTGTTTGTATGTGTCATGTTTTTTATTCCCTATTTCTTCCATACTACCTTCTTTTATGTTAAACATCTTTAACATAAAAGTGTACTGTTTTAATTTTATTTTTTAACTTTTTTTCTAGTTATTTTCTTAGTGATTGCTCCAGCAATCACAATATGTACCTTAATTGATCACAATCTACTTCAAATTAATACTGACTTAATTCTGGTAAAATCTAGCAACTTTGCTCCAGTATAGTTCCATTTACTCCTGGCTTCTTTGTGTTATTAGTGTTAATATATCTTATATGTTTAAGCCTAACAATACAGTGCTATAGTTACAGCTTTATAAAATCTTGTTTTCTAAAATATTTTAAGAGGCAACTATATTTATGTAGTATATAATATTTAATCACGTATTTACCATTTTCAGTGTTCTTAATTGCTTCCTGTGGATTTAAGTTACTGTCTGGTATCATTTTCTTTTACCTTGAAGACATCCTGAGGTGGTGTTGGTGATGCAGGAACCTTAGTTAGGAATACCACAGAGTCCCACTGTTCTTATCTCAAGTTTAGCAGTTTTTCATGAGTAAACATTTCTCAGTTTGTTTGCTTTTAGTCCATTTCCAGAGCCCTGAAATGTTTGTTTTTGACAATTTTGTCCAGTTTTATCATTGTTTTTTCGGGATAGGCTTTTCCGAGGTCTTCACTCTGCCATAGCTGGAAGTCTATCTACCCATTTACACAGCTTGATATTTTTGCAGATAGAGGTGACTTCCTGTGCTGTCCTGAGGTATGTTCCTTGATTTGTAGAGACTGGGCTTAGAACCAAGGCAAGCCTAAAAGTGGACCTACTTTTTCTAAGCTGATGGGACTCAGGGGAAGAGAAGGGGTCAATAGGACAAGGAATGATTGGGCCTTTTTCTGTTTGCCTGGGTCTTAGAGCCCCCAAACCGTGTCTTTCCCAGGAGGGGCCCTGAGGCTTGTCCCTATGGGGACTTTCTGGCTTCTTCTTTCATCTCCTGCATAAACCCTGTCTGAGGGTGAGTGGACTTTGAAGACTCAGAGTAAAGCAGCTCCTGCCTCTCTTAGCCTCGCTGTATAAATCCTGGGTCCCGTCTGTGGATGATGTAAAGGGGCTCAAAAGAGAGATCAAGGCTCCAGAATAATGTTCACTCTGACTGAGATTTTCATTCTTCTTCTAGGTAGGGTTGTACAGTCAGGTGGGCTGGACTTAAGGTATGTTTGTAGCTGGGGTAAAGGTGGAGGAGACTCTGCCTGAAGCTCATGTCTTTGTGGAGATTTTGGGGAGTTGCTACCAAGAAGGGGAGAGGAGAGAGAGAGGATATTTGCACCAGAAAGTAACATTCTGATCATCATGCCAGTTATGGGGAGACACTGCAAATATAATTCTGGTGGAAACTTTACTGATTAGATCTCTAGCCTGCTGGATAGAATTTCTGTGGAAAAAAAGCCAAATGTTATTTTATTGTTGCTTTATCTTTCTGCAGGTAATACCCTAACACCTCTGTAACTGGATGCCTTTGCCTTTCTCTCTTGGCAGAGGAACGTCACGGCATCCGGAGTTATTCCACAGATTTCTCTGATCATGGGCCCATGTGCTGGTGGGGCCGTCTACTCCCCGGCTCTAACAGACTTCACTTTCATGGTAAAGGTAAGAATGAAGGGCCTGTTTCTAGTGCCCTGTGAGAATTGTGCAGTTCCTCACCTGCAATAAAAATAATTCCTGACCCAGATTTAGTTTGTTATTTGCGTTCTCATTGGCTTTCAGGGAACTGATGATAAAGTCTTAGTGGAGAGAAGGTGTTGGCATGAGATCTGTAGCTTGTGGGGGGTTCATTGGTAGAAGGCACTTATGTACTTGTTTGGTGGGTGATTTTACTTGTTGATCTGAATTGCAAATGATTTTCAAGTAATCAAAGGCTCTTGTACTCTGCCTAGACAGGATTGTTTACTGAATCCTATTAGAAAAGTTTCTCATGGTAGGCTTTTCTATAACTTGTTTTAATGGGAAGTTGTTTTTTAGGTCCCTCTTTTATCTTGTCTGCTGTTTCTTGACATTTTATTATATTTGACTGTAATGGTAATGGATAAGTCTGGTCTCCAACTTTATTGTGAGAGCTCCCTATCTTTATTACTTGATTTTGATAGAATGATATTTTTTATTGTTGTAAAATATATACATATAACACATTTGCCAATTCAACATTTTTCAGGTGCACAATTTAGTTATATCAATTGCACTAATCATATTGTGCAACTGTCACCCATAATTGTTGCCAAATTTTTCATCACCATAAAGAGAAACTCATTGCTTCCTAAACATTGACTCCTCCTTTCTCCAGAAGGATATTTTAAAATGATTTTTATTAAATGAAGCCTACTTGAATGTATAAATGGGTAATTAGTCTTAATCTGATACCTTATTTTTTAAAAAATTAGACTTTTCCTCTTGAGTTTTTTTTTTTTTTAAAAACTAAATGTGAGCAGTAAACACCAATACAGAAAGGTTGAGGTTGGGGAGTAATCATCCAATCTGAGGAGAACAGTGCTCTTAGAGATTGCTGGAGGGAGTGTAAGTAGGAATAACTGTTTTCTCAAGGACAGTTTGGAAAAAGGAAGTAAAAAAGTTTCCAAAAGTGCATACTCTTTGACCCAACTATTCTGTAGAAATTATGAAGAAAGTGCTCAAGGGTTCACGTAAAGAGATATTCACCACAGCATTGTTGTCAAGAGTGACAGAAAGCAAACTAAATGTTCAACAACGGGGTGGGTTTTTAAAAAATAAAGATGACCACGTTTCTTATTTCTTGATGAAGCAGAGTTCCCAGAACTTTGCCCATTAAATCTACATGTGTAAACACTGTATGTATCAGTTTCCTAAGGCTGCCATAAGAAAGTATTACAAAGTGGGTGGACTAAACAAATTTATTATCTCACAGTTCTAGAAGCTACAAGTCCAAAATCAAGGTTTCAGCAAGGCCATGCTCTCTCTGAAAGCTCTAGGAAAAGATCTTTTCTTGCCTTTTCCTAGATTCTGACTTATGTGTCCTTGGTTTATGGCAGCATAACTCCAATCTCTGCCTCCATTGTCACAAGATATTCTTTCCTCTGTGTCTCTCTGTGACTCTTCTATAAGGACATCATTCGTATTGGATTAGGACCCACCCTACTTCAGTATAATCTCATGTTAATTGGTAACATCTTCAAACATCCTGTTTCTACACAAGGTCACATTCACAAGCACCGGGGGTTAGGATTTCAACATATCTTTTTGGATGACACAAATGAACCCATAACCGAAGCCCTCTTCTCCTTCCTGCTTATTATGAACGGAGATATGACATCAATTCCTCTTACTAAGGCTGCCCTTCCCCACTCCCTCAACGTGCATATAAATCGATGGATACAAACAAATCTTCATACCTTCTCAGAAGCCTTATGCTGTCAGTTCTCTTTTCTCTGTACTATCTCCAGGTTTTTCCTTGGTTCTGTATTCTACCATCAGAACTTAACCATGTTTAGGCCTTTCCTATCTTCAGACCAAAAACAAAAGCCCTTTCCTAGTCTGTATCCCCCTCTAGCTTATTGCCCTGTTGCCTTCCTCTCATTCTCTCCTTAACACATTGCATTTTGGCTCTGTCTCCCTTCTGCCTTCCAGTCCACTAAACCTGTTTTTTAAAGATCATCAGTGACTTCCATGATACTCCACAGTAAATGCTGTTTAGCTCTTACCTTTAATCTTTCAGCAACACTTTTTTCCTTTGGCTTCCATGATGCTGTTACTGAACGAAGTGGGTTCACTGCCTGTGCTCTTGTTAAGAATAACTAAGAGTCATGCGGATTTGAGGTAGGGCATGGTTTATTACTTGCAGCAAGTAAGGAGACAGGGAGATAGCTCTCAAAGCACTGTCTCTCTGAACAAAGGGCTGGAGGAAGTAACAGCAGGATGGCAGTTAGTGGACCGAGCAATGGCAGAAACCAAGTAACTGAAGGGAGAAAGTTTTTACAGTTTGTCATATGTCTTTTATGCTTGGTCCTTGATTTAAGCTGTGGAGCCACTTAGCTTGTTCCTAAATTTTGTTGACATTAATTTCCATTCGCCCTGAGGAATTGATATAGGTACAGCATGAGGTATTAGCAATTGCACACACTGTTTCTTGTTCAGCTAGCAAACAGTCTAATGCAATTTTATAGTCTAAGACTGCTCTGGCTAGAGAATTTAAAGACTCTTGAAGATATGTAAGAGTATCTCCAGAGTTACTGGTTACAACCTCTACAGACTGAGTGATTTGTTGGGCAGTGGCTGTGTTATAGATTACTCCTCTGCTTAGGCCACCCAAGGCTCCCACAAGGGCAATTATACCCGCTATGATTAGGACTGTCCCCCTTTTTCTCCTAACAAGAGCAGGAACTGAAGCTCCTGTGGGTTGAGAAGTGTTGTTTTATATTTGAATGGCCTCATCCATCTGGTGTATGTATCCCAGAGTACATGTAGCTCCCCAAGTGGCGTTTATACAGTTTAATGCCCAAGTTGTCTTGTTGGCTTTATCGGAGCACAGGCACATCATCCCCTTTGGTAAGCAGACGAGTCTTGGTTCTGACTTCTAGTCTGAACAGTTACCAGGATCTAGGGAGCTGAAAAAGTGTTGTAGCCCTGGGAGATAGCCAGAACAGTTGGGGTATACACCCTGAATTCTAGTTTGACTGGTTTTGTTTTTAATGTAGGCTTCTCACTTTTTATAATTGCTAGTGCAAAGGGGGACTTCCAGCCTAAGTGTAACATTTGCCACGTTTGGTCCCCACTCACATCTCTCAATGTTATATGGGCTAGGGACTAGCGGGTGAATAGTTACTACAGCTTCATTCACTGCTCTTAGATCTTGCACAAAGTGATACTCTCCATTAGGCTTCCTGACAGGTAAGATGGCGGTGTTACAAAGGGACTGGCAAGGTTCAGTAAGTCCCTGTTTGATCTTTTCTAACACTGGCTTAATCCTGACTCTAGCCTCTGGTTTAAGCGGGTGTTGTTTGTGCCAAGGGAGAGTAACTCCGGGTTTCAGTTCAACCCAGACGGGTCCAGTATTGTTAGCTCTCCCAGGTTGGTTCACATCCCAGTCTAAGGGTTCACTTTGGCAGAATACATTGAGGGATATTAGGGTCTTTTGTGTAGAGCTTTCTGCCTCAAGGAGAGCTAGAAGTCCTGTTCCTTGGCTCTTATCTATTTCTACGGTGGCCCGATCTCCAGAGAGGAAAACAGTAGCCCCTAGTTTAGTTAACAGGTCCCTGCCAAGCAAAGGGACTGGACATTTAGGTATACAAAGGAAAGAATGAGATAGAATACGTGTTCCCGCCTGACATGCTAAAGGGAAGGTAAACCTCTTAGTCTGGGACCTTCCCGAGACTCCCGTTATCACACAATCCTGATTGGAGAGTTTGCCAGTAGGTTTGTTCAAGACAGAGTAGGTGGCTTCTGTATCAAGCAAAAGATAGTTTTCCTACTTGCCACGTTGAAGGTAACCCGAGGTTTCGCAGGAGTGATGGAAATCGACTGTCGCTGTTCCACGGGAGCTGGGTAGTCCCCTGGGCCTCATCACTCGGAGAGTTGTGACATTTGCAGTTTGAGGTCACGGTTGGGGTAGCGATCAGGCTGTCCCAGCTGAGGATGGTCCAGACACTCCCTTTTCCAGTGCCTTCCTTTTTGCAATATGTACACTGCTGGGGCCCCAGCTTTGCTGGCAGCCCTGAAGGGCAACTCCAAGGCCTGTTTGATCAGGTACTTACCTGTAACAGTCCTGGTCCCCAGGGGTTACCTCGAGGTGGTCCCTGAATAACTGCAACTGACAGCTGGGCTTTCCTTTCTGTCCTTTTATCCCTCTTCTTTTCCTCTGCCTTATCTCTGTTGTTGAAAACCTTAAAGGCTTCCTCTACCAATTTAGATAACGAGGTCTGGGGACTGGCCTTGAGTTTTTGAGGTTTCCTTCTAATATCTGGGGCACTTTGGGTTACAAAGTGCAGACCTAGGAGAGGGGCGGCCTTTGGTGCCTCTGGGCCTATGTTGGTAAATTTCTTAAAATTCTCTGTCAGCATATCCAGGAAGGCCGCAGGGTTCTCATCTTTTCTTTGGGTTATTTATTTATTTTTGACCTTTGAATAGTTAACTGGCTTATGGACATACTTTTTCATTCTCTTAACCACACAGATTATAAAATGTTTCATTCTTGCCCAATCTAGTCAGTCCTGGTAGTCCCACTAAGGATCAGTTCCAGGAACCGCCTCATCCCCTGGCCTCAAAACACTGTGCCTGTGGTTGGTGGGGACAAAGCTGTTAGCATGCTCTGTTGCCTTAGCTAGTATTCTAGTCTTCTCATCAGTAGAACAACAGGTGGTCAGAACTACTATCACGTTCTACCAACTGAGAACAAAGTTAAGACTAAGTTTAACAAACTCCTCTCTAAATTTCTCCGGGTCTTCTGAAAACTTGCCCAACTTTTCTTTACGTATACTTAAATCTGAAACTGAAAAAGGGACCTGCACCTGGACCACTCCACCCTGCCCATCCACTGCCTCCCACAGAGGAAGAACTCCCACTGTGGGTTTACTGGGTTCTTGGAGAGAAGGATAGAGATTACGAGGACGGAGAACCATGGGAGT